CCTGCAGGCACTAAACTTTGGTTGGGTTTCTTTGCTTTGCTAGGCACACTTATGAGATCTGATAGATCGAAGCGCGCCTGTAAATGGAAAAGCGAAGAAAATTGACTCAAATTTTTACATCAGTGTATAATAGGAGAAAATTTGTTTTCCGTGTTTTGGGTTTCCCCAACAACTGATTTTTGGTCGGCCTATTAGACGGTCAGTACTGTTACAGCAAAAGTGTTGTTTAGTCACAGATTACCTACATACAGATGCGAAAGAACGGGTTCGTGGTTCCAGATTAATTTGATAGACATAGGCTGGCCGCACCAATGCCACATCAATGTATTTTGAACATATTTATTATATAAATGCGGAAGCTCAATAATATACCTAATATTATTTCTTTAATTGCTTCACAAACAGTAAAAAATAGTACATTATATACCTAGGTAGAGAAGTTGGTCATTATATACCGAGCGCTTTTATAAACCGAGGCGCGAACGCCGAGGTTTATAATGCGTAAGGCGTAATGACTTTCTCTACCGAGGGATATATAGAATTTTTTTTACTACTGCTAGTAGAAAATAAAAAATAGGTTTGAAACCTGTGCTCAAATTATTTTCTCTTGTCGGAAGTGCTGCCCTTTATCAACAGCTTACGATAATTTCCTATAATGTACATACAGGAACCTGCTTTTTTTTAAATTGACAGTTTAACACTGAAATTAAACCAATAGAAACCTGTTACGTTATGATAATATCCTTGCATTATGACGTCATTGTCATTATTGACCTAGGTATTTTTTCATTATTTTCATTATTAACCTAGGGAGAGAAATTCAATTTTTTCCCAGAAAAATTGATGGAATAATGACTATTTCTCAGGTTAGTAGTAAAAAAACTACTTTACGCACTGGTGCGTGACATTTAATCTCTTCTAAAAGGTGCGTAACATAAGTACTTTACGCGCGGTAATGGAAAAAAACAATTATTGCGCCTTCACTTACAGTAGGGAATGAGATGTTGTACCCATACTTATACAGGGTGGTCCATTTAAATTGAGACATTTTAATATCTCGAAAATGGCGCGTTTTTGAAAAAAACAAGTTCAATAATGTCTTAAGTTCAATGGCCCACCCTGTATACCTATTGTATATCGTGTGCTAGAAACTTAAAATTACCAATTTTTCATTGAATATGAAAATTTTGCGACTAAATAAAAGAAAAAGTGAAGTCTGTTTTTTTTTTAAAGATAATTCCCCAAGTCAAAAATTTAGTAACTATGTTGGCAACGCAAACCTTCTCTACATAAAAAATTTGAAAGCATCGACAATTTAACATTGTTTTGCCAACATAATGTCATTTTGACTTTTATGTTTAAAAAAAAAACAGACTTTAAGAATTCCGCTTCTACCCTTCGCGAACGAAAATAGAAAATTTCCTCAAAAAGGGGATAATTCCGTCAAGCTGGCAACACTGTGGCTGACTCGTTATCAAACACAAGGATATCAACAAAGCATTTGATAGGTTGGATATAAGCCCCGCCCCTTTCCAATCAGATGCGAGTGATATCAGCAGGGCATTCAATTAGTTAGTTAAGCCCCGCCCCTTTCCGGGGTTTATGTATCGTCAAGGTATTTGATTGGTTGTTTCCTTTTCAACCCTTTCCAATGGCCCCGGCACACCTACAGTGATTTAACCTTTTCAAATAGAAATTTTGTACCGCCGCCATATTCTTGCAAATTTTGAATATGAATATAGAAGTTAGCCACGCCCCCGCCGTCATATTTTTGCAAATTTTTTGATGTTTACTCAGGTATTATTATTAATATTATTATTATCTAAGTATATATTTATTTATTCTTTATTTTTCAATTTTTCCATCTAATATGAAATATAAAAAAAGAAAATAGAAGGATAAACAATTTTTTTTTATTAACGGTTACTTTTTTTGCTTCCAGGAGCTATAATGTTTGTATATCAATTTTATCTGGGGTCTAACACTTCCTTGAATCAAGGTCCAATCAATTGGAATGTGACTGGAGATCAGGAAATGTCTCAGCTTCCCCTGCGATCGATATTAACGTTACACCACCACATACATTGTGAGCGATCCACAGGCGATAGAAACCAAATGTGATGCAAAAATGGTGACTTTATTTTTGGTTTTGACATCAAAAAACAACTCCACAGAGGGATTTTTCTAGAAAATTCCATCGTGTTCTGTTTAAAACTTGGAAAAGGTGCGGAACTTGTATTCAAAATCAAATTTTGGGAAAGATACAGAGGATTCTATGGTCAATAGATGACTTCAATCAGGCCGAAATCGAGCAGTAAATCAAATGCTACTGGATTTCATGAAAACTATGCAAGACAAGAAACAAGAAGAGGAGGTTTGAAAACTGAGAGATAGACAAAATGAGAGAGCTCGAAAACAGAAAGAAAGAGGAAGCCCGAAGACAGAAAGAAAAATAAGAAGATGAGAGCTGAAGACAAGAAGCACAGGGTTGGCTTGCAACACCTTTACAACAAAAAAAGGATCAGAGATAGAAAGAAAAATAAGAATAGGACCGGCTTCAGGAAAATTTGTAATATTAGCGAAAATAGATTCAGACCGTAATTTTTGAGGAACGAATGAGACTCCAGGAAATCTTGTGGAAGGGCAAATTAATAGAGTCATGAATGCAATTCAAGAAGTACGTGTAGAAATTTGAACTGTTTATCGAGAAGTTGAAACTGTTCATCGTCAAGATGGAAACTTTCGTCAAAAAGTGGTTAGTGTTCAGAAAAAAAATTCAAAAGTTGGAATGTGAACGAACCACTATACGACAGTCAGGCATGAGCGATGTAGGTACAGGTTTGGTACAGGCGTCAGTTCGAGACTGTTGCAATGCGGGCTAATGATAACAATAAGCGAACTTTTGTAATAAATACAAAGGCTGTTATCAGAAGCAATTGAGAAAAGTTGAAAGAGAGTACCAGTACCGCTGCGGAAAAAAGAAATTTTTAAAGGTATGACTGTAGAGTACGGCTGAGATCTCAGCTGACTCTCAGCATTTAATGAGCAACTCTAAATGGGGCAACAAATGTTATCGCTGCTGAAGAAGAGGACATTGAATACATCACTGCTGTCGAGTATGGCTGAGATCTTGCTTTTTATCTTTATCCCGCTATATTTCGATGGAGGAGCTGCAACAATACAATTTTCAAATCAAATATCTTTCTAGTAAACCGCATAACAATGCAGATGCCTTATCCAGGTGACCATACCCAGGTCAATGCAAGCTCTGTCTTAGAATTGATCAGTGTGATAGAGTTCCTGTTCGATTTGAAGCTGATCAAGAACGCAGTTGCGAATAGCTTAGAAGTGAGAGGATAGTGACAACAAAACGGAACCGGCAATAGATGGCCAACAAACTGGCGGAAAATAAAAATCCGACGAACGAAAAAAAAAAAATAGTATCGCAGTCAACAAGGAACAGGTGGTCATTCTTCTAGTTAACAAGCATACAGATGATAAACACATGGATAGTTGGTATGATGGAGATGATTATGAATATGATGAAGATTAGATGATTAGCTGATGAAAGAAGGGTGTACATTTTGACAGGGTGAACAAACGATTAGGTCGGGACGTTCTGATTTAAGAGAGAGGCAGTGTTGCGGAGAAGACGATGCCGCTTTTACGACCCGATTGAGATTATCGAGAAATTCATTTCTGTTGTGTGATTTTGATGAACAAGAATTCACGTGCAATTTAGAAATTTCCCATTAAATTGTTCTGTATGTAGAGCGCCTAGTTTGTAAGTTGTATTCAGTCTTGATAAGGGAAATAATGTATAAAGTTGAGGGAAAGCGATAAATTATTTCTGAATTTTGTCAAGTTAATTGGTTCAGTAAAAGTTTTTGTTGTTAGTGGAGAGAGTCCTAGTGAACCCGCAGAATCCGTGACAATATATTTGTATTTTGTGTGTTATATTTGTCTCATAGACATAGGCATTCATATTTCTATTAGCTGATGCTATACTTTCTATTTTTATATTATGTATAAAGATGTTTTATTTACTTTTTTACCAGTATTTCATGTTCATAATGTTGCCCTCATCGCAAGTGGTTTCTTTATGGACAAAAGCTTTTAAAAATGTAAGATAAAATTATAGTGTGAACCAATATAAAAAAAAAAAATATATAACAAATGGCTCTTATCAATGTTGAATAATTTTATGTAAAATAAGTTTAAATCTGATTATTTAGTTTGAGAATAGTTTGGAAAAAATATTGTGCTAAAATTAATTAAGTGGTATAAAATATGTTGGCTTGTTAAAGCTCACTGGCATAACAAGAATTCCTTGTTCAAACGCAGTAAATTTTCCGATAAAAGTTAGTGGCTCTTAAAAAAACATAAAGCGGTTAATTTATTTAAAGTACTTACTCCCGACTGCTTTACGCTTACAGAACAAATAAATATAAAAATCGCCCAGTTTTATTTATTTTTTAAAGCCGGTTTTATTGCCTCTTCCACTATAATCAAAATATGCAATTTTTCTTTTTCCGCTCGCCGGACGCCGAGTTCCGCGCCCATTTTTGAGTTATTGTGCAACAAATTAACCCTATCTATCAAATTGTTGGTTCTTTTGCTCCTATTTTCTCGAGTATTTTCCGCCATAATAGATTTACCCGGAATGTTAATAAAGTTGACGAGATTAGCTGCGTTTCGGTTTCCGTAAAATTAGTTATTAAATTTAATGTCAATCATTGTATTGTTGGTATATTTTAGTTATAATATCGATTTCATCGTTGTACCTGAATTATAGTATTAACCCAAGGAGTATTTTATGAAATGTTTACTAAAAACTTCTTTTACGCAAGGCCTTAACTATTTCAGATCGCCTCATCAGCATATATGTATATGTACTTACATGGGTTAGATAAAACAAAAACTTTATAATCAATTTGCTCGTTCAATAAAACGTATAAATATTATCTAAAAATAAAAACGAATAATGAAATTTTTCTTACGTCATCATGATGATACCAAAATATGTAGGCTGGTGGTTCTGGACTGAATTTGATAGAGCAAGTTAAATTTATGGTACTGCCTTTGTCGACGTGCAAGTCTGGACCTCCTAAAATTTGAGCTGTGGGCACTGAAACAAAGAAAAGACGAAAAAAATTGAATAAAACGTGCTTTTAAATATAATGTGAATTAAAACAAGAATCACTAAATTCTATTTACTTTCATGAAATAATAAGTCACTCTATAATGCAGCAAACAAATGTGGGTCTTTCATTATATTATTGAATACAAACATTAGCAATATGCAATATAATCTTTGAAATTTAAAAGAGGTTATTCTGTTAGTAAGGAAAAATATTCACAAAGTTAGCACACAATAAACTAAATAAAAATTGGTTACATTATGTAACCTTTAACCTGGTTGACCAGAATTAGGCGGTCGTGGATCAAATCTCGTTGTTTGTGGACAGGTGCAATTGCATTTGTAGCTCTCATCTTGGACAGGTTTTTCGCCAGTGTCTTCTAAATAGATAAAAGTGAAACATAAAGATAATAAAACAATAAATCTCATCTCAACAAAAAAACAAAACAGTTAGCAAAGTCGAAAATTGAAATTCGCGGGATTGGAGCACGCACAAATTCCCATCTCAATTAGAATCTTCATTTGGAACATGCGGAGAGGTAGGTCCAATTTTTTCTCTCATCCTGTATACCTTCAATTTCTAACTGATTAAACAAAATTCTTTGCTGAGTCATTCAACACGTTAGAAATCATACGTGAAGTAACATTAACGTTTTCTCCAAGTTAGGGAGATTAGGCAATAACTGGCTACCACCTAGGACACTCTCATGTGTCAATAAAAACACTTATTTTGCGCGCTTGGTACATACATAACTATAAAAAATACCCCAATAAAGGATTTTACTTTTTTGATTCCAAACGTTCTTCAAGAAAAATAATAGGACAAGGAGATAAATCTTGCAACGCCTGATGTCTTAATTGTTACGTGCTCACATTTAAACTTACCAACAACATTCAAATTAACAAAGTAGCTTCTCACAGGTTGAGTACTGATTTGGCACTCATAAATCCCAGCATCCCGTTTTTGTGCCCATTTAATTTGCAAGGTCCATTCGTCAGTTTCGATATGATGGTTGGCTTGGAACCTTTGGTCGCTTGTATAAGTGTAACTTCCAACTGTCAATATGTGAATATCACGATGTCGAATCCAGGACACCTAGAACAATGAAACGTGTAAAAATGTACCCATAAAAACCGATTTGAGGCGCTACTTTAAAATAACGAAGTAGCTTTTAATAGTGTATTTTAATCAATTTTCCTAGGTATTCATCCCCATGGTGTAAGGTGTCCAGATTGTTTACGCTTAGGAATATTTACCTTTGTAAAATCCTAATATTTTGATGGATTTTGATAAACTTTGTTTTCCATCCCCTATCCCTATTCCGACAAGTGCACTAACCCAGAGGTCTTTAATGTATGAGGCAAGAAAGATATTCAACTATTTGTCTCGCGAAGTTAGATGCTTGATGTCTCTAAAATCATTCAGAGTGCGTCTTAAGAATCTTCTGATGGATAGGGTTTTTTGCAGCTTAGATGCTTTTATAAATTCGTTTAAACTATACCTAGTGAAAAAATATTCGCGCCCTTCGGTTTCTGTCAATGTACTCGCTATGTACAGGGTATACCATTTAAAACGAAACAGGCTAAATATCTGCTCTCTCTTTTAATTATTTTAAAAATCGCACCTACACTCAATTTGATTGTGTGAGTATTTGAAACATTTTCAGCATTAGCTTAACACTCTAAGGGGGGAGGAACCAGCCCTTATCATCCCAAATGGAACAGGGGGTCGAGTGATACCTGTATTAAAAGAGCGTTCTTTTTTTTCAAATGACATCAAATGAAAGAGAATTGAATGCTCTTGTAAAAGAGGTATCACTCGACCCCTTGTTTCATTCGAAATAGTAAGAGTCCCACCCCTTCTAGAGGGTTGAAGTTGAAGTGCTAAAAATGGTTGCAGAAAACTTCCCCCTTGGAAAATCAAATTACGTGTACGAGCGATTTTTTGAAAAATAAACGTGGCATCAGATATTTAGCCTGTTTCGTTTTAAATGGTACACCCTGTATACTATATTGTATATATACGTATATGGAATTATGGAAATTATAATTTCGACCGTACAAATTTAATTAAGAGGAATTTTTCAAACTAAATTATGTGTATATAATAGGTCTGTTTCTGCAGAAATCACAAACCAGTCAGAGCGAATTTCATTGGTTGAAAAGAGTCAGAAACAGTCAGAAAACTAGTTTCAACCAATGAAATTCACTCTGACTGGTTTTTAATTTCTGCAGAAACAGACCTATTGTATTTTTTTTTTTTACTCATTCAAAATTAGGTATATTTATCTGTAACAAAAGTGTATTTTATATACTACATAAAAGTATGGTTGGTTAATTTTTTAAAAAATCTTCAAGCCAGAAATTGAAAGAAAAGCAGATTATTTGAATTTTGCGCCATATTTTTGCACCATTTAAAAATCACTGATTGCCAAATTTCCATGTTCCAAACGAATCTTTTTTTTTTCTTTTTTAACACATCGAACAAAAAAGGAGGCATAAATATATCAAAATCGCTTTGTGTATCAACTTTGGTATAGCCCTACTTTTGACTTGAAAGAGAAGAACGATATCTATTGAAGTATCGACTAGTATCGACAATTTTCTTTCCTTGTCTACAAGCGAATTAGACAAAGAAATCGGTATCTGTACAGTATGAAGTACGAAAACGATAAAAGGAATTTTTGTTTACTATTAGGTCAGTGACTCCTGGCCAATTTACCTATCTCAATGGCTTTTACAAACCCTTTCTCCATTCCATCACGAACAAAATAAGCACTAATCAAATTAACAACAAAAAACAGCAGGCTGGGGCAGTGTAATTTGAAGAAAAAAGAAAAAGGATGTTTAATGCCTGTGAAAATGTAAAAAGTTAGTCTTTAGAGTAACTGGTAGGTATGGAATACAGACACATAAAAATTATACTCGTGTTTTATTTCCCATATACCACTTAAAAGAAAAATAACAATAATTTCATTAGTTAGGTAAAAAGGGATTGTAAAAGCCGATTCCGTTTTTTTTTGGTGCCGTGGCGTCACGGCACCAAGAAATTTGAACTTCAAATCGAAATTTAGAGCCATTGCAAGTCTGAAAAAATTCGGAAAAAAAATATAGTTGAGCCTAATTTTGACGCCTCCTTCCAATAAGCAAATAAAAAAAAATTATGCAAGAAACCTATTCTATCTATTTTAAATGAACTGAAATACAGCAAAAAGGTAATTATATTATAGCATTCCAAAAAATTTGTATTTTTATTAGGAAGTAGGTGCTATAACTACGGATTTTTTCGTGAAAAGTAACCGACGGAGGGTTCTTCTTCTTCTTCTTTTTCAGGACGACTTCAAAACTCTTAATTTTTCAATTATTTGTTGTTTTCAAAGTTATATTTTTCTTCATGGCACTCCCTCGGTTTTTCGCCAGCATCGATAGGCAGTGTATCAGAATATACAACATCGACCACAACATGCAGTGATCGCCTTCCAAAAAGCTCCCCACTCAATGGCAAAATTTGTTCGGAATACCATACGATGGATTCAATGGAAGTTTGCTGACGAGACCTTTGTGCCACACCTGATCAAAAGCCTTGCAGATATCCAATGCTACAATTAAGTCACTTTCAGGCTGACTGCCTTTTCCATTACTTGTGAAAGTACAATATTTAAGGTTCGACAGGACTAATCATTTCTAAATTAGGACGATCTAGTGTGGAATAGTACGCGTTGGCGACATCTCCTCGATTATATTCTGCTTTCTACTGCTCTTGGATCCATAAAGTATGATCCCCTATAAGCAATTCAGATTTGGACAAAATAAATATTCAATTCGGAAAAACTGGGTCGCATGCCTGGGTCTTGCTCGAACCGTGAGGTAAAAACACGCACTTGGACGATCCTATTATACGTGCAAAAGCAAAACTTGATGCATACAAGTAACCCTCCTATAGGATCGAAAGAATGTCTTATATCAAGAAGGTACCACGTAAGAGGGTTAACAATCTTGATAGAAGATTGGATATAAAAAAAATATATTCTAATTTGGAAAACTCATTCCCCCAATCGCACTACATAGTTGCATCGGTCCCAATTTTTACCGAAGAAGACAAATTAATGCTTAATGAGTCTTAGGAGGAGGGCCAACGCGGATCTGGGAATAATATTGCGTGCAACATTCCGGAGGATATTTGATGATCTGATATCCCTAACGAGAGAGTGGATAATGATAGTTCCCATGTAAATTTTTGAAAAATCTTGAGTTGTACACCAATTGAAGGTTTAACATTTTTTGGGATTGGTTGAACAAATACTAAACCTCGGCCAGTGAAATAAACCTTCAAGGGGTAATTACGTTGGCATCAAGACATATTTGACTTGCTTGCAACGGTATAAACATAAAAGAAGATGTATGAACAGTTGAACCATAGAGAGCAAAGTGGTGAAACGGACCTAGTACTACGAAGCGCGGTATTCGTAGTTTAGTGAAAAAAGAACCAATCTAAGAGAAAGCAATACTTGATCGATAGCCAATCCTCCAAATCTGTCCGGAACTGCCCCCAATGAGGACAACCATTGACAACAATGAAATCAGCACACATCATGGAGAGTTTATTGTCAGAATATTTGTGTTATGAAGAATAAGTTGGAACGGTTTCGACACGCATCTGTGCTCAATCTAATGTTATAGCTTTGTAGCAAGGGGTATACAAAAGTTAAGTTGAAAAAACTATCTGTCTGGCAACTTCGTCTGGCAGTTGAAAGATACCGTTGCGTTTGTTTTCAGGAACTGATGCATAAAGGTCTCGTGAAATTATATAGGGGTCTTGTTACCAAGTAATCATCATTCGAATTGATTAACTAGTATTAAAATCATTATTGTAAAGTTTCGAATATTTATTTGGTAATAAATCAAGTTTTTTTTTCAATACGTAAGAGGTTTTATCTTCGTGAATTTGCAATTTCCGAAAATTAATGACGCCCGATGCATTGTTATAGCAATAACGGACTATCGTTAAATTCGAAGTTTATTTTTTATTGAAAGTGTCTTGATTTTTTGTTTCCTTTTAAAATAGTTTATTATATCTAGTATTAATTTATGTGAAAATAAGAGTTAGGGAACCAAAAAATCGCTCAAAATTTCTGATCCGTAAATTTTCAGTCAGATTTACGTTCCTCAACTTGAGATAAGCCAGATTGCTTTTCTCGTGAGTTTTATCTTCTACTTTAGTAAATGTAAAAAAATTATGACGGCGTAAGAAAGTCGACTCATTTTTATTTATCTTTCGAACCCATCGGAAAGATTTTGCAGGGGGTATAAGTCACTGTCTCTTGGACTAATATATTTGATCAACGATTTCACACTCATCATGTTATCATAGTTATGCTTACTTCACACTATTCGCAGATGATGCAACAATTTTGTGGCATGGAAGAGAAGCTGATGATTTAAAGGCTGTTATCGATAATAATTTAAGTAGCGTAAATGAGTGATGTAGGTCAAATTGTTTATGTTTTAATATATCAAATAATGCCAGTCTAAGTTTTACCTGTCAACAAGTTTTTAGGTTAACCTATTTATTGATGATAAACTAATTATTAATGAACTGGTAATGGAAGGATTTTAACAATAATAGCATCTTTGTCTTGGAGACAGTGTGTCTGATACACAAAAAATACAAATACCATTCCTCAACAAATCCTTACAATATTCATAGCAATGGGCTTCCATTGCCTAATCCTAAGACGACACTGACTAAAAATTCAATTATGTTTGAAAGCCTTGAAATGTCTAACCACATTCCTTTGGTATCTGCATGACTTTTATAGTGGTTGCTTATATAAATATGTCTAGTTTTTGTCCCGAGTCTTTATTTTTACACGTTCTATTTTGTGGAGTGTATTCTTGCACTGTGTTCGATATGCATTTTTTTTTTAAAATTATTGTTCTGTCTTGTATTGTTTTTATTGTTATCATTATTATTGATTGCATGTTTATTTTGTCTATATGACTATATGTATATTTATATCTAAGGCAGGCCGCATTAAAGAAACATGAAACGTGAAACATAAAACATGAAACATAAAACATGAAACAATAAATGAC